TAGAGACCAAAAATAAATTTTTTAAATAAAAATACTATAATTTCAATAATTAGAAGCATGATATAAAAATTAAATTATAAGTCATTATATGGTAAATTTCTCCACAAAATAGTAACCCTAAAAAATTTAGAATTTATCTCTAAATTTGTTTGTATTAAAAAATGCAAATTTTTTTGTATTAAAAAATGCGGTGAATCTATTTACTTTTACATAAAAATATATTTAATCTTTAAAAATTAATTCATCTTTTGCATATCTAAATCACTTTTTTTTATTAGAAGATAGCCTAAAAAATTACCCATTTAACTCTACTAAGGTAAAAAATGTGTTTAACTTAAAATTCACTCTAGAGGGAATAATTAATATCGTTCCTTATCATATTCGAGAGAATAATATTTTTTATCTTTGAAAAATAAGAGAGGAATGTTGAATTGGTGTTTGTTGTAATATTCGACTATATCAATTAGAATAACGTTGAGCCACGACTATAAATATGGCACTCCAAAGTATTCATGATCAAACCAAGTTTGTTGAAACTATCTATCAAAGGTGTTCCAAAATGAGTTGTGAACCTGTGTTTCCTCCAGTTCCATATCCAATTAGGGGTGTCAATCACAAAAAAGTACAAGAGGCTGCAGAGGCTGCAATAAAATGGAAAAACGAGAAGGAAAGACGTTGTTTGATTTACAAGCGTGTGATAAACGGTCTGTCCGATTCTAAATGCAACCACGAAGATTCTCAACATTATGTTCTTGTGATAGAAGCTATAAATGACGATGGTATTCCTTGGTCATATATTGCAAAGGTGAAGCACTTTGGGGGTAACGGGAAAGAGCCCCATGTCTTTTCCGTTGAAGATGTCCTCAAGGATTACAAAAAGCATTAAATTGCTCTCTAGCTCTCTACACTAAGCCCTCTCTCCCTACAATAAAGGAGGGCATTATGTGTTTTAACAATAAAAATGGCATTGAGCCATAATAAAATAATAATATATTTATCTATCTATATATCTACTTATCCTTTTCTTTTTCTTTAAAATTTGCCTAATAGAGTTAGACACCTCACTCCCTTTGTCAATAGTATGAAAATTATAAGTAAAATGACTCATTTGTTATATATATATTAAAATTTATTAATTTTATATTAGAAAGGAATTTAAAATCAATAACCTTATGCACTAACATATTTTAAATAATTTATTGTGCATTTTACTCTAAAAATTTATTTGGAGTGTAAGTGTTCGATAAATATCCAACAAATGTTGAATTTATCTTTATACGTGTCTAATACATGTACGACATGTGTTGAAGATGGCCATGAGAATAAGTTGTTCTCGGTCAAATCCCATTTGATACGTTTCCAAAAAAGTTTTCTATACGTATCTTTTTCTATCCCCTATTCCCTCTCTTTTTATTTATATAAATTTTTGGCTAAATTAATAAAAATATCCTTAAACTATATGCTTTTATATTGAAAATACTTCTAATTTTTTTTTAAAAGTTTCAGTTATACTTCTAAATTTGTTTAAAAGAATTCTACAAAATATTATTACCCTTAATTTTTTATAGAAACGATTAATAGTTTGTTTAAAAATATGGCTGAACTTTCAACGTGTAGTTGAACTTTATAAAGTTTTATTAAAAGTCTTCCATTTTTTAAATTTTCAAAAATAATCTTAAATTTAGTATTGTGTTTAAAACATATCATTGAAAATTTAGATGGAGTACTAACACCCTTCACCTTTATAAAAAATAATAATAATAAATATTTTGTCGTCAATATTTGGAAAGTATTTATCGACACCTCATAGATTATCCTCTTTTTTAATATTACTTTTGAAAGTTCATTACGAACCATAAAATTATTTTTTTAGTTTTTTTTTTTAAATTGAGGATATTAATAAAAATTTTGAAAATTCATATGTATTTTTTTAAATACTTTCGAAAGTTAAAAGGATGATTTGAAACCTTTTGAAAATTAGTATTGTAAAAAAAAAAATGATCAACGGTTTCCTAAAGATATTTTTAATTTAAAAGTACATAACTATTTTTTTAACTTTTTTAAAAGTTTAAGAATATTATTGAAATTATATCTTCTAGATAGAGTACTAAACTATTAGTTTATTAGTGGTATTTTCATTAATTTAGTTTGATTCTAAAAACTATATATATACAATTTTTTTTATTCAGTTAATATTAATTTTAGTAATAAAACATTAAAATTTTGAAAAAAAATATATAACACATTAAAATTAATTTAACAAAATTCATAAGTAATCATTAAATTAAAACTAAAAAATTAATTTATTTCAATCTCGAGTAGAGTGGACAAGCAAATATAAGTTCTACAAATTAATTAAATATCTAATAGATACTTTTCATGTCATTTTTTAAAAAGTCTGAGACATAAAGACGATAAAATATAACTTTTTTTCTTTTTCTTTCTCCATCCTAATTTTTTCCTTCTCACATTTAACTTTAAAAAAAAAAATTAAACAGGAAGAAGGGGAGAAAAAGGGAGAAGAAAAAGGAAAAATCTTAATTTTGGAAGCGTATAAAATACTGTTTGACATATAAAGAAAACATGAAAATAACTTATTCTAACGTCCCATCTTTAAAAATATGCACTAAGTTTAAGGCTTTTATTTCCCTTTCTCCTTTATATGTTCATTCTCATCTTATTAAAGTTTAAGGCTTTTATTTCCCTTTCTCATTCTCATCTTACTAAAGTTTAAGGCTTTTATTTCCCTTTCTCCTTTATATGTTCGTTCTCATCTTCGTTCCTATGATCTAAACGACCCATTAAATGATAAACTTAAAGTGCAGTAGTTAGTCAATCGTAATATTTGATGTGCTTGTTTTCAAACTACTTTGAATTTGTGTAAAAAAAGCATTAGAATAATTTATTCTCATCCCTCTTCAACACGTGTTCGATATGCATTGAACACTTATTAATATAAGGGATATGTTAAACTATTTTTAACCATACAAATATATAAACTTATTTATTTGAATTTTTTTTAATATAAAATTGATAAATTTAAAAAAAAAAAAATATATATATATAGTATAAAATTGATAAATTTAAAATCTATATATATTTAAAATTAATGTGTCATTGTTACATAGTGTTATTTATATTTCTTATCCATATCTCATTTTTATTTGTGTGAAGCTTAATATTTGACTTCTATAAATAGATATATTCACGAAAAGAAGTTTAATTCACACTTACGAACTTTGATACTTGAGCTTCGATTCCTCTTAGTATGATGCTTGCCGCTTGGAATTACTTAGGTACAGAATGTGTTTCACTTAAAATTCACGCAAGAGAGAATAATCAATATCGTACCATATTCGAGAGAATAATCTTTCTTTATCTTTGAAAAATAAGATAGGAAGGTTGGATTAGTCTTTGTTGTAAGATTTGGTTATATCAATTTAAATAGCGTTCAAGCACTACTATAAATATCGAACTCTAAAGTATTCATGAGCAAAGTAAATCGGTTGAAACTAAATCTGTTGAAACTAACTATCAAAGGTGTTCGAGAATGAGTTCGGGAGAAATGCGTCCTTCAATTGAAATGCCAGAAATTAAGGACGTCAATGACAAAAGAGTGCAAGAGGCTGGAAGGTTTGCAGTGGAAGAGTATAACAAGGGTGGACATAGTTTAGTTTACAGGGGTGTGGTGAACGGTCGGTCAATTATGATTGGCAACCCAGTTACTTATATCCAAATTTTTATTATTGTGATAGAAGTTAGAAAGGAGAATGGCCTTCCTTGGTCGTTTATTGCAAGGGTGGAAGTCAGGGTGGCTGGTAATAAGAAAGAGATGAATCTCATATACTTTAACGATGTCCTCGAGGATTTCAACGAGAATTAGATTTCTCTCTCTTTACACTAAGCCCTCTCTCTCTACAATAAAAGAGGCGTTACTATCTTTTAACTATGAAAATGGCATAGAGCCATAATAAAATAATAGCATACTTATCTATAATATATACTTATCTCTCCTTTTTTTCTTCTAATTTTGTCAAACTCAAACTCATAATTATGCATATTTAAATACTATCAAGTTTCATTATCTCGAGGTAAAAATAAAATATTAATTTTATCATTAATATACTTATTATCTTCCAAAATTTTACTTCCTCAATAAAATGTTTGAATATAAACATTAAAATAATTAGTTATTAAATATGTTTGAATTAAAATAGTTATAATTTGAATGATTTTCAAAATTTAATTCATACAAAAATAAATAAAATGTATAGGAAGAGTTTGATGTAATTAGTTTATTCCAAAATTTAATTTTAAAAGTAATTAAAATATTACAATGATTCAATCATCCATTATATGCCGGACTAAAAATTAATTTTTAGAAAAAAAAAATTCTTAACTCAAAACCGTCATAAAAAACATTATAATATTATAAAATAAAATATTCTAAAAAAAAATTGTGAATCAATTTGAATATAATTCAATTAATTTCGGATTATCAAATTAAATTGTAGAGACAAAAAGTAAATATATATATATATATATATATATATATATATATTTTATTATTATTATTATTATTTTTTTTTTTTTGTTGTTGCTACGGACAAATATTTTGATGCTCTCTAACTTTGTTTGGATTGGAAGGTTGAAAAAGGCTGTGAATTTATTTATTTTTAAATACAAATATATTCCATTTTAAAAAATTAATTAACGTTTTGCATATCTAAATCCACATTTCTTTTATTAAAAAGATCACTAGAAAAAAAAATTACCCATTTAACTCTACTTAGGTAAAAAAATGTGGTTAACTTAAAATTTACTCTAGAGAGAATAATCAATACGGTAATGTATTCGAGTAACCTCTTTTATCTTTGAAAAATAAGAGATGAATGCTAAAGTGGTGTTTGTTGTAATATTCGACTATATCAATTTGAATAACGTTCACCACGACTATAAATATGGAACTCCAAAGTATTTAGGAGCAAAGTAAGTTGGTCGAAACTATCTATCAAAAGTGTTCCAAAATGAGTTTTGAAGAAGTGGTTCCTTCGGATCTATTTCCAATTAAGGATGTCAATCGCAGAAAAGTACAAGAGGCTGCAAGGTTTGCAGTGGAATGGAAAAACAAGGGTGGACATCGTTTGATTTACAAGCGTGTGGTGAACGGTTTGTCTGATAATACCGACAGCCACGCACATCATCAATATTATATTCTTGTGATAGAAGCTATAAATGACGATGGTATTCCATGGTCATATATTGCAAAGGTGAAGCACTTTGGTTTTAACCTAATACCACCTTGGGTCTATTCCTTTGAAGATGTCCTAGAGGATTTCATCAAGCATTAGATTGCTCTCTCAGTTTATACTAAGCCCTCTCTCTCTACGGTGAAAAGGGCGTTACTGTCTTTTAACTATGAAAATGGCATAGAGCCACACTAAAATAATAACATACTTATCTATCTATACATATATACTTATCTTTTTGTTTAACATTTGCCAAATCCAACTCTTAATTATACATATTAGGGTTAGTGTACCGATTATAAGTAAAATGACTAATTTGTTATACAAATTCTATATATATATTAAAATTTATGAATTTTATACGTGTCTAATACATGCCGACATGTTTTGAAGATGGACATGGGATTAAGTTATTCTCGTGCTTTCGTTACACCAATTAAAACTAGTTTGAAAGTTACAACTTTAATGTTGTTACCTAAGGAAGCGTTTTGACAAACGGAAAGACGATCAGAATGAACATAAGAATGAGAAAGCGAAACAAAATCCTTAATTTAATACTTCTAAATTTTTTAAAATGAATGCTACAAAATATTCTTATGATTAATTTTGAAATAGCTAATACTTTATTTCAAAACTAAGGTCGAATTGAAACAGTCATCCCCTCTTAACTTTTTTTTTAAAATTTTTTTTTAATAACTTTAGAGTTAGTACTGTGTCTGAAATATACCCATAAAAGTTTAGGTAGCATCACTACTCTTTACTATTTAAAAAAAAAGAAAAATCAAATAGATTTTTATCGTCAATATATTGATAGAAATCATCTATGAACACCTCTAAGATTATCTATTTTTTTTAATGTTACCTTTAAGAGTTAATTAATATTTTGAAATGTGTATTGCCACTCCAATTATTTTTTGAGAATTTTTTTTAAGTTAAGGATATCAATATTTTTTTTTTCAAAATTCATAAATAATCGAGTTGATTAATTCTAAGAATTAATTTATTTTAGTTTGATAAAAAAATAACAACCAGAAGATTTTACGCAAACATAAATTCTAAAAATTAATTAAATATTCAATAGATATTTCTCTATATTGTAAATAAATTTAACTTTTATATTTATTTTCGACGATAAGAGCTCCAAGATGACAGGACAAGATTTCATGTCATTTTTAAAAAAACTTAAAAGACATAAATACAACAAATACACTTTTCTTTCTATTTCCTAATTTCTTCATTCTCACGTTTAATTTTTTTTTCCTTTTTAAAAAAAAGTTAAATGTGAAGAATGAGAAAAAGGAAGAAGAAGGAAAAAGAAAATCTATAATTCTCGAAGCGTATTAAATACTCTTTGACCGATATAAAGAAAGCATAAGAATAACTTATTCTCACGGTTCCCTTGGTCTAAAAATACCCATTAAATGACAAAATTAAAGTTGTAGTTAGTCAAGTATAATATTTGACATTCTAGCTAGCTTTCAGGCCGCTTTAAATGGGTCTAAAGAAAGCAACGAGTAACTTATTCTCGTGTTCCTAATCGACATGTATTGGACATATATGGAGACATTTATAATCCAATGTGAGAGAACAAAAAAAAAAAATTGATAGACAAGTATTTCTCTACAAAATTAGCCACTTTACCTATAATCTTTTACACACATAATATAACAGTAATCAATGTGACGCTCGAATAAATGAGAGATACATAAATAAACCAAGATTTCTTTCCACGTAATCCTTTCATCCTCAATCGGCACTATAGAGTCTGCAAGCACCTGTTCCACACAAGTCATTATAATACCTTTGATTATAGTATCTCTAAAATATTTCTTATTTGAAAGATTAATAAAGTATTACACATTTAACTTTAAAATATTTAAAATTTATATCCATTAAATTTTATATAATATATTAGCAATCCATCGGTTAGTGTTTGCTTCATCAAAATTACTTAAGTAAAAAATGTATTTCACTCAAAATTCACTCAAGAGCGAATAATCAAAATCATACCATATTAGAGAGAGAAATCTTGTTTTATCTTTGAAAAATAACAGAGAATTAAAAACATGGCACCAATAACCGTGACTACTTTGTTTTGTTGGTGTGAATGTTTAAAAAGAAACTTATATAATTTAATATTTCCTGTTCAACTAGCTCAATTCAAACTTCTCCTCACAATTTTATTTAACATTAATTATATCCAACTAAAATGGATTATCAAACTAAATTTTAGGGACCAAAAAATGTAAATTTTTTAAAATTAAAAATATGATAATTTCAATAATTATATGCATAATATTAAAATTAAATTATAAGCCATACATACGGCAAATTTCTCCAGATATAAAAAAATTAAATTTACTTAAAAAGTTGTATTGTATATATATATATATATATTTTTTTTTACCAACATATATTTTGATGTTCCCTAAATTTGTTTGTGTTTAAATGTTGAAAAAGACTGTGAATTTATTTATTTTTAAATAAAAATATATTTAATTTTAAAAAATTAATTAATCTTTTTCATATCTAAATCCACTAAAAAAAATTAAAAAATGTGTTTAACTTAAAATTCACTCAAAAAGAATAATCAATACCGTAACATATTCGAGAGAATAATCTTTTTTGTCTTTGAAAAATAAGTGAGGGATGCTCAATTGGTGTTCATTGCAATATTCGACTATATCAATTTGAATAACGTTCAGCCACGACTATAAATATGGCACTCCAAAGTATTCATGATCAAACCAAGTTTGTTGAAACCATCTATCAAAGGTGTTCCAAAATGAGTTGTGAACCTGTGTTTCCTCCAGTTTCATATCCAATTAGGGGTGTCAATCACAAAAAAGTACAAGAGGCTGCAGAGGCTGCAATAAAATGGAAAAACGAGAAGGAAAGACGTTGTTTGATTTACAAGCGTGTGATAAACGGTCTGTCCGATTCTAAATGCAACCACGAAGATTCTCAACATTATGCTCTTGTAATAGAAGCTATAAATGACGATGGTATTCCCTGGTCATATATTGCAAAGGTGAAGCACTTTGGAGGTAACGGAAAAGAGCCCCATGTCTTTTCAGTTGAAGATGTCCTCAAGGATTACAAGAAGCATTAAATTGCTCTCTAACTCTCTACACTAAGCCCTCTCTCTCTACAATAAATGAGGGCGTTACTGTGTTTTAACTATGAAAATGGTATAGAGCCACAATAAAATAATAATATACTCATCTATCTATATATCTACTTATCCTTTTCTTTTTTCTTTAAAATTTGCCTAATAGGGTTAGCGACACCTAACTCTCAATAAGTATGAAAATTATAAGTAAAATGACTAATTTATTATATATATATTAAAATTTATTAATTTTATATTAGAAAGGAATTTAAAATCAATAACATTATGCACTAACATATTTTAAATAATTTATTGTGCATTTTACTCCAAAAATTTATTTGGAGGGCAAGTGTTCGATAAATATCCAACAAATGTTGAATTTATCTTTATACGTGTCTAATACATGTCCGACATGTTTTGAAGATGGCCATGAGAATAAGTTGTTCTCGGTCAAATCGCATTTGATATGTTTCCAAAATCAAAAGTTTTCTATGCATATGTTTTTCTATCCCCTATTCCCTCTCTTTTTATTTATATAAATTTTTTTGGCTAAATTAATAAAAATATCCCTAAACTATATGCTTTTATTTTGAAAATACCTCTAAATTTTTTTTAAAAGTTTCAATTAAACTTCTAAATTTGTTTAAAAGAATTCTACAAAATATTATTACCCTCAATTTTTCATAGAAACGGTTAATAGTTTGTTTAAAAATATGACTGAATTACAACCATGTAGTTGAACTTTATAAAGTTTTATTAATAGTCTTCCACTTTTAAAATTTTCAAAAATAATCTTAAATTTAGTATTGTGTTTAAAACATATCCATGAAAATTTAGATGGAGTATTAACCCCCTTCACCTTTATAAAAAAAAAAAATAATAATAATAAATATTTTGCCGTCAATATTTGGAAAATATTTATCGACACCTCATAGATTATCCTCTTTTTTAATATTAGTTTTGAAAGTTCATTAAGAACCATAAGATTATTTTTTTAGTTTTTTTTTTTTAAATTGAGGATATTAATAAAAATTTTGAAAATTCATAGGTATTTTTTTAAATACTTTCGAAAGTTAAAAGAATGGTTTTGAAACCTTTTGAAAATTAGTATTTTCTAAAAAAAATGATTAACAGTTTCCTAAAGATATTTTTAATTTAAAGCTTCATAACTATTTTTTAAACTTTTTTTTAAGTATAAGAATATTATTGAAATTATGTCTAAAGAATATTATTGAAATTATATCTTTTAGACAGAATACTAAACAATTAATTTATTAGTGGTATTTTCATTAATTTAGCTTTGATTTAAAATATATATATATATATACAATTTTAATTAAAACTAAAAAATTAATTTATTTCAATCTCGAGTAGAGTGGACAAGCAAATATAAGTTCTACAAATTAATTAAATATCTAATAGATACTTTTCATGTCATTTTTTAAAAAATCTGAGACATAAATACGACAAAATATAATTTTTTTTTTCTTTTTCTTTCTCTATCCTAATTTTTTCCTTCTGACATTTAACTTAAAAAAAAATTAAACAGGAAGAATGGGAGAAAAAGGAAGAAGAAAAAGGAAAACTCTTAATTTTGGAAGCGTATTAAATACTGTTTGACCATATAAAGAAAACATGAAAATAACTTATTCTAACGTTCCATCTTTGAAAATATGCACTAAAGTTTAAGGCTTTTATTTCCCTTTCTCCTTTATATGTTCATTCTCATCTTACTAAAGTTTAAGGATTTTATTTCCATTTCTCCTTTATATGTTCGTTCTCATCTTCGTTCCTATGATCTAAACGACCCATTAAATGATAAACTTAAAGTGCAGTACTTAGTCAATCGTAATATTTGATGTGCTTGTTTTCAAACTACTCTGAGTTTGTGTAAAAAAAGCATTAGAATAATTTATTCTCATCCCTCTTCAACATTGATATGCATTGGACACTTATTAATATAAGGGATATGTTAAACTATTTTTAACCACGCAAATATATATACTTATTTATTTGAATTTCTTTTTAATATAAAATTGATAAATTTAAAAAATATATATAGTATAAAATTGATAAATTTAAAATCTATATATATATTTAAAATTAATGTGTCAGTGTTATAGTGTCATTTATATTTCGTATCCATATCTCATTTTTATTCTGGCTCAGACATTTGACTTCTATAAATAGATATAGTCAGGAAAACAAGTTTAATTCACATTTACGAACTTTGATACTTGGGGCTTCGATTCCTCTTGATATGAAGCTTGCCGCTTGGAATTACTTAGGTAGAGAATGTGTTTCACTTAAAATTCACGCAAGAGAGAATAATCAATGTCGTGACGCAATATCTACCACTCAAAAGTGTGAGTAGATATGAAAATATTATTACTCAACGAAAGAATACAGATTTAAGAATAAGAAAAAAATTGGGATTGAATGTTCAATTTTCATTGATGTCTACAACCTTTAAATAGAAGAGAAGATACTAAATAATATCTAAAAACAAAATATAAACTAACTAAATCTTGATAATAAAATAAAATATACTACTATTCAAATTCAACTGATTACGAATATCTAATATATATTTCCTAACTAATTCAAATTAAAATAAGTTGCACTAAATTANTTTTTATGTTATTTTTTAAAATTAATTAATATTTTTGAAATGGGTAGTAATCGTAAAGATTATTTTTTAAGTTTTTTTTTTATATATAAATTAAGGGTATTAATAAATTTTTTGAAAAATCATCTGATATTTTTTAAACTCCTTTGAAAATTTGAAAAAAAATTATAGTATCTATTTAAAATTAACGACTAGGATATTTTTAAATTTTAAAGTTTATGGGGTTTGTTTAGATTTTTTTCAAAAATTTAAAGATATTATTGAAATTTCTAAAATTTATAAATATTTTTTAAATAGAGGGAAAAGTTAAGTGGTATTTTTATTAATTTAGTTCTGATTTTAGAAAAAAAAATACAAATAATTAATATTTTGAATCAATAAAATAAATTTTGGAAGAAAAAAAAAACATCAACACATTAAAATTAATTTGACTGAACATAAAAAAAAAATTGAAGTATAGTTGTTAGTCGTAATCTTTGTGCTAGTTTTAAAACTACTTTGAATAGGTAAAAAGAAAGCATCAAAATAACTTATTCTCATGTCTCTTTTGGACACGTGTGTTGGATATGTATTGAACACTTGTTAATACAATTAATATGTTAGACACTTTGACTTTGAATAAATTTTAAGAAATTTTGAGGGTAAACATACGTTAAACTATTTTAACCCTATAAGTATACAAATTTATTTATTTTGAATTTCTTTCTAATATAAAGTTGATAAACTTTTTAAAAATCTATATTTTTTTTAATTAATGTGTCACTGTCACATCGGTGTCTTAGATTTTTTTTTTTTAAATGACATGTACCATATTTTTGTGTATCATATTTATGTCTCAGGTCCATACTTATTTTTATTTTTGAGTCTTAGATATTTGACTTCTATAAATCGATATCCTCACGAAAAGAAGTTAAAATTCATGTTGACATGGAGAAGCTTGCAGCTTAAAATTACTTAGGTAGAAAGTGTGTTTCACTTAAAACTCACTCAAAAGAGAATAATCAATCAATACGGTACCATATTTGAGAGAATAACTTTTTTTTTTTTTTTTTTTATCTTTGAAAAATAAGGGAGGAATGTTGAATTAGCCTTTGTTGTAAGATTCGGTTATATCAATTTGAATAGCGTTCAAGCACTACTATAAATATCGATCTCTAAAGTATTCATGAGCAATGTAAATCTGTTGAAACTATCTATCAAAGGTGTTCAAGAATGAGTTCTGGAGAAGTGTTTTCTTCCCTTCAAATTCCAAAGATTGAGGATGTCAATGACCAAAGAGTGCAAGAGGCTGGAAGGTTTGCAGTGAAAGAGTATAACAATCAAGGTGGACATTCCTTCATTTATAAGCGTGTGGTGAACGGTCTGACAATTAGTGTTGGCACCTCAGTTGATTTTGACTAATATTATACTTTTGTGATAGAAGTTACGAAGGAGGATTGTATTCCTTGGTCATTTATTGCAAGGGTGAAAGTCAAGGTGAGAGGGTGCAAGAGAGAGATGAATCTCTTATTATTTGAAAATGTCCTCAAGGATTTCATCGAGCATTAGATTGCTCTCTCAGTTTATACTAAGCCCTCGTTCTATAGTGGAGAGGGCGTTGCTCTCTTTTAACTATGAAAATGGCATAGAGTCACACTAAAATAATCATATACTTATCTTTCTATCTATCTACTTATCTTTTTCTTTAAAATTTGCCAAATTCAACTATTAATTATACATACTAGGGTGAAGGTAGTAACATGACTAATTTGTTATACAAATTCTATATATATATTAAAATTTATTAATTTTATACGTGTCTAATACATGTCCGACATGTTTTGAAGATGATATGAGAATAAGTTATTCTCATGCTTTCTTTACTTTAATTTTGTTACCTAAGCATTTTGACTCAGGGAAAGACGATCAGAATGAACATAAGAATGAGAAAGCAAAATAAAATCCTTAGTTTGATACTTCCAAATTTTTTTTAAAAAATGCTACAAAATATTTTTATGGTTAATTTTGAAATCGTAGTCGAACTTTAAGAAGTTTAATTAATACCTTTCTATTGTTTTTAAATAATCTTAAAATTAGTACCGTGCTTAAATATATTTAGGAAAGTTTTGAATATAGCATTAACACTCTTCCCTATTTAAAAAAAATAAAAATATAATTTTTACTGTTAAAATATTGATAAAAATCATCTGTGGACACCTCTAAGATTATGTATTTTTTAATGTTACTTTGAGAGTTAAAATAATATTTTGAAATGTGATTTTTTTTTTAAATGAAGGATATTAATAATATTTTTATAAAATTCATATGTATTTTTTAAACAAGTTAAAAGGTGAAACTCTCTCAACCATTCAAAAGTATATTAGAAAAAAAAAAATAATAGTATGCTAGGATATCTTTCAATTTTGAAGTTTAATATTTTTTTAGAGCTCGTGTAAAATAGTATATTTATTAATTTAGTTCTAATTAAAAAAAAACAAAAACAAAATACGATTCTTAATATTAATTTTATGAATAAAACTTTAAAATTTTGAAAAAAAAAAACAAAAACAAAATACGATTCTTAATATTAATTTTATGAATAAAACTTTAAAATTTTGAAAAAAAAAATCATAACAACCCATTAAAATTAATTTAATGAAATTCAAATAAAACTTTAAAATTTTGAAAAAAAAAATCATAACAACCCATTAAAATTAATTTAATGAAATTCATAAATAATCATACTTAATAAAATTAAACCTAAGAATTAATTTATTTTAGTTTGTAGTAGGATGGATAAAAAAAAAAAAACCAACCGGAAGATTTTAAGGTAAGTTCTAAAAATTAATTAAATATTTTATAGATATTTTTCTCTTAATCATAAATAAATTTAACTTTTATATCTATATTTGAAAATTTAATAGGTGAGAGCTCCAAGAACACAATCATAAATAAATTTAACTTTTATATCTATATTTGAAAATTTAATAGGTGAGAGCTCCAAGAACACAATTACAACATCACACTCACAAGATATCTATATTTGAAAATTTAATAGGTGAGAGCTCCAAGAACACAATTACAACATCACACTCACAAGATTTTATGTCATATTTTAAAAAATTAAAGACATAAATACAACAAAACACATCTTCTTTCTTCATCTTAATTTCTTCATTCTCACGTTTATTTTTTTTTTTTTTAAACGAAAAAGTTACGGTGAAAAAGGAGAGAAAGGAGAAAGAAGGAAAAAGAAAACTTTTAATTCTAAAAGCGTATTAAATACTCTTTCACCGATATAAAGAAAGCATAAGAATAATTTATTCTCACCATCTTTGTTCTCTTGGTCTAAAACGACCCATTAAATGACAAAATTAAAGTTGTAGTTAGTCCAGCATAATATTTGATGTTCTAGCTAGTTTTCAGGCTGCTTTAAATGGGTTTAAAGAAAGCAACAAGTAACTTATAATATACATAATATAACAGTAACCAATGTGACGCTCGAATAAATGAGATATACATGAATAAACCAAGATTTCTTTCCACGGTAACCCTTCCATCCTCAATCGGCACTATACATTTTGCAAGCACCTATTCCACACAACTCATTATAATACCTTTGATTATAGTATCTCTAACATATTTCTTATATGAAAGATTACTAAAATTTTACACATTTAACTTTAAAATATTTAATATTTATACCCATTAAATTTTATATCATATATTAGCAATTCATCCGAGCAATTAGTGTTTGCTTCGTCAAAATTACTTAGGTAAATAATGTGTTTCACTTAAAATTCACTCAAGAGAAAATAATCAATATCGTACCATGTTCGAGAGAGAGAAAATAATCTTGTTTTATCTTTGAAAAATAAGAGAGAATTAAAAACATGGCACCAATAACAGTAACTACTTTGTTTTGTTCGTGTGAATATTTCAAAAGGAACCTTATATAATTTAATTGTTCAACTAGCTCAATCCAAACTTCTACTCACAATTGTATCCAACTAAAATAGATTATCAAATTAAATTTTAGGGGCCAAAAGTACATTTTTTTTTAATAAAAAAATATGATAATTTTAATAATTATATACATAATATTAAAATTAAATTATAAGTCGTATGTAAATTTCTCCACAAAATAGTAGATAAAAAAAATTAAATTTACTTAAAGTTGCATTATATATAAATTTTATACCAACAAATATTTTGATGTTCTCTAAATTTGTTTGCGTTTCAACGTTGAAGATGGCTGTGGATTTATTTATTTTTAAATAAAAATATATTTAATTTTAAAAAATAAATTAACCTTTTGCATATCTAAATCCACATTAGAAAGATTACTTAAAAAAAAATTATTAAAAACGTGTTTAACTTAAAATTCACTTTGGAGAGAATAATCTTTTTTATCTTTGAAAAAAATAAGAGAGGAATGTTGAATTGGTGTTTGTGTAATATTCGACTATATCAATTCGAATAACATTCAACCACGAGTATAAATATGGCACTCCAAAGTATTCATGATCAAACTAAGTTTGTTGAAACTATCTATCAAAAGTATTCCAAAATGAGTTGTGAACCTGTGTTTCCTCCAGTTCCATATGCAATTAGGGGTATCAATCACAAAAAAGTACAAGAGGCTGCAGAGGCTGCAATAAAATGGAAAAACGAGAGGGAAAAACGTTGTTTGGTTTACAAGCGTGTGATAAACGGTCTGTCCGATTCTAAATGCAACCACGAAGATTCTCAACATTATGCTCTTGTAATAGAAGCTATAAATGACGATGGTATTCCTTGGTCATATATTGCAAAGGTGAAGCACTTTGGACACGGGAAAGAGCCCCATGTCTTTTCTGTTGAAGATGTACTCAAGGATTACAAGAAGCATTAAATTGCTCTCTGGCTCTCTACACTAAGCCCTCTCTCTCTCTACAATAAATGAGAGCGTCATTGTGTTTTAACTATAAAAATGGCATAGAGCCACAATAAAATAATAACATACTTATCTATCTATATATCTACCTATCTTTTTTTTTTCTTTAAAATTTTCCAAATTCAACTTTTAATTATACATAATGGGTTAGGGTACCGACTAATTTGTTAAACAAATTCTACTTATTCAAATAATTTATAAAAATTGTTGGTAAAACACCGTCGTAATAATAATTTTAAGAAAGAGATGAAGAAAAGAAAATTCTTCGGGTGAAAATCATCCATTATAAAAAATTGTTAATTTTAGTGTTTTAATTTCGACAATAACATAAAATATAATATAGTATCGAGGATGGGCTTAGCTCAGACTTACTTTAATTAATTAAGAGTATTAAAATAGGTTTTTATAAATAGAAGTATGACAGCAGAATAATAGAGGAGTACATGAATGAACCGAAATCAAATCTAAATGAGAACGGTTTTTAGGATATGATGATGGTTAAGAAAACCTTAAAAAAAAATTGAGAGTCACTGGTTACACCAATAAGTTGCAACTTTGTTTTCGGTGGCGTAATCATAAAAATTTCACTGTTAAACGTGCTTTTTTTTTTATAATTTTTCTAGGATACATGTGAGTGAGGATAAGGTATTCTAAAAAGACTCGTATTAGTTTGTGGGGGATAATTTTCACTTTTAGAAACGAGAAACGAGAAGTAAGTAACGTGACTATGTCGAAGAGAAATGTCGGGGTCATCAGCTGTCGAACCAATACCTTCGTCTTTAGATACTTATCTTTTAAAAGTGAACCAATACAATATTTAAGAGAGAATAACCACTTTTTTGTTTTTTTTCTTTGTTTTGAGATAAGGAACCATTAAAATTCAAATTAACCACATGAAAAATTAGCCCTAAATTAATTAGCATCTTATCGTTTGATTTGACATATTTTCAACCATGAACAAACTTGAATATCTAACACAAAATATAGTAATATCTATGTGAAGCTCGATATCGTCAAATATATATCTATAATGTCATCTTTTTAATCCATGCCAATATTCTTTCTTTGCATACCAACTAATTTTATCAGTAGTTTTAGATTTATATACGGTAACCATTTTTAGTTTCAAATTCTCAAAAAAATTTAATTAAAAATATAAAGACTCTACGCCATATAAATTTTAAAAACTAATTAAATATCTAATAAATATTTTTCATTTATTTTTCTTCTAAAATTATTTTTTAAAAAATACATTTATTTGTGGTATTATAATATTGCAAAATAAAATATTATTAAAAAAAATTAAGAGTCCAATAGTTCACTTTTATCAAACTAAATTTTAGAGACCAAAAGTAAATTTTTTAAAATAAAAAATACATCATTTCAATAATTATTGGCATAATATTAAAATTAAATTATAAGTCTAGTAAATTTCTCCACAAAATAATAGACCTAAAAAATGTATATTTTCTTAAAAAGTTGCATTGAATATATTTTTTTATACTAACAAATATTTTGATTTTCTCTAGATTTGTTTGCGTTAAAAAATGCTGTGAATTTATTTATTTTAACATAAAAATATATTTAATTTTAAAAAATTAATTAATCTTTTACGTATCTAAATCCACCTTTTATTTTATTAGAAAGATGGTTAAAAAAATTACCCATTTAACTTAATGGGTAAAAAAGATGTGTTTAACTCTAAAGAGAATAATCAATACAGTAACATATTCGAGAGAATAATCTTTTTTATCTTTGAAAAATAAGTGACGGATGCTCAATTGGTGTTTGTTGCAATATTCGACTATATCAATTAATAATGTTCAGCCACGACTATAAATATGACACTCCAAAGTATTCATGATCAAACCAAGTTTGTTGAAACTATCTATCAAAGGTGTTCCAAAATGAGTTGTGAACCTGTGTTTCCTGAAGTTCCATATGCAGTTAGGGGTGTCAATCACAAAAAAGTACAAGAGGCGGCAGAGGCTGCAGTGAAATGGAAAAACGTTGTTTGATTTACAAGCGTGTGATAAACGGTTTGTTTGATTCTAAATGCAACCACGAAGATTCTCAACATTATGTTCTTGTAATAGAAGCTATAAATGACGATGGTATTCCTTGGTCATATATTGCAAAGGTGAAGCACTTTGGGCGTAACGGGAAAGAGCCCCATGTCTTTTCCGTTGGAGATGTCCTCAAAGATTTCAAAAAGCATTAAATTGCTCTCTTTCTCTACACTAAGCCCTCTCTTAACTATGAAAATCACATAGAGCTACAGTAAAATAATAATATACTTATCTATTTATATATATACTTATCTTTTTCTTTTTCTTTAAAATTTGTCAAATTCAACTCTTAATTATACATATTAGGGTACCACGGTACTTCTCCCTAAGGACTAATTTATTATAAAAATTCTCCAGTAATATATATATATTTAAAAAAAAAAGAATTTTTAAATCAACATGTTAATGCGCAATAATACATTTAAAAATAATTTAAGTTAAAGTGTTCACCTACAAATGTTAGATTTTTATTTATATGTGTCACATACATGTCCGACATGTTTTAAAGATGGCCATGAGAATAAAGTTATTCTCATGCTCTCTTTACGCCCATTCAAACTAGTTTGAAAGCTACAACTTTAATTTTGTTACCTAAGGAAGCGTTTGACGAAGGGAAAGACGATCAGAATGAGAAAGCGAAATAAAATTCTTAGTTTAATACTTTTAAATTTTTTTTAAAAAAATGCTACAAAATATTCTTAGGGTTAATTTTGAAATAGTTAATCCTTTATTTCAAAACTAAGGTCGAATTGAAATAGCAGTCGAACTTTAAGAAATTTGGTTAATACCTTTCAACTTTAAAAAAAAATAATAATAAATAACCTTAGAGTTAGTACTGTGTTTAAAATATTCCCATGAAAGTTTTAAAGGTAGCATTAACCCCTTCCACTATTCAAAAAATCAAAAAAAAATTTACTGTCAATATATTGATAGAAATCATTTATATTATCTATTTTTTTAATGTTACTTCGGAGAGTTAATTAATATTAATAATTTTTTTTTGAAAATTCATAAATAATCCTACTAATAACAACAAGATTTTAAGCCAATATAAGTTCTAAAAATTAATTAAATATTCAAGAGATATTTTTCTCCAAATCATAAATAAATTTAACTTTGATATCCATTTTCGAAAGTTCAATAGGTAAGAGCTCCAAGAACACAACTATGACACCACACCCACAAGATTTCATGTCATTTTTTAAAAAACCTAAACACAAAAATAGGACAAAACACACTTTTCTCTCTCCTACCTAATTTCTTCATTCTCACGTTTAATTTTTTTTTTTTAAACGAAAAAGTGGGGAGAGAGGAGGAAGAAGGAAAAAGAAAACTTTTAATTCTAAAAGCGTATTAAATACTCTTTGACCGATATAAAGAAAGCATAAGAATAATTTATTCTCACCGTCTTTGTTCTCTTGGTCTAAAAGGACCCATTAAATGACAAAATTAAAGTTATAATTAGTCAAGCATAATATTTGACGTTCTAGCTAGCTTTCAGGCTGCTTTAAATGGGTCTAAAGAAAGCAACGAGTAACTTATTCTCGTGTTCCTAATCAACATGTGTTGGACATATATGGAGATATTTATAATCCATTGTGAGAGAAAAAAAAATTGATAGACATGTATTTCTCTAAAAAATTAGCCACATTACCTATAATCTTTAGATTCACATACATAATGTAAGGGTAACCAATGTGACGGTTGAATAAATGAGATATACATGAATAAATCAATATTTCTTTCCACTGCAATCCTTCCATCCTCACTCAGTACTACGAATTCTGCAAACACCTGTCCCACACAACTCATTATAAACCTTTGATTACAGTATCTCTAACATATTTCTTATTTGAAAGATTACTAAAGTATTACACATTTAACTCTAAAATATTTAATATTTATACGGATTAAATTTTATATAATATATTAGCCATTCATGAGAATAATTAGTGTTTGCTCCATCAAAATTACTTAGATAAAGAATGTTTTTCACTTAAAATTCATCAAGTGAGAATAATCAACATCCTACCATATTCGAGAGAGAATAATCTTGTTTTATCTTTGAAAAATAAGAGAGAATTTAAAATATGGCACCAATAACCGTACTACCTTGTTTTGTTTGTGTGAATGTTTAAAAAGAAACCTTATATAATTTTAGATATAATTTAATATTTGTGTTCAACTAGCTGAATCTAAATTTTTACTTACAATTTTATTTAACATTAATTGTATCCAACTGAAATAGAATTATTAAACTAAATTTAAGAGATCAAAAGTAAATTTTTTAAAATAAAAAATAGGATAACTTCAATAATGGTATGCATAATATTAAAATAAATTATAAGTCATATATACTAAATTTCTCCACATAATAATAGCCATAAAAAATTTAAATTTTCTTAAAAAGTTGCATTATATATATATATATTATACGATCAAATATTTTGATACTCTCTAAATTTATTTGCATTTAAACGTTGAAAAAGGTGGGGAATTTATTTATTTTTAAATACAAATATATTCTATTTTAAAAAATTAATTAATCTTGTATATCTAAATCCACATTTTTTTTTTATTAAGAAGATCACTAGAAAAAAAAAAATTACCCATTTAGATAAAAAAAAAAAGTGTTTAACTTAAAATTAACTCTAGAGAGAATAATTAATATCTTTCCTTACCATATTCAAGAGAATAATATATTTTATCTTTGAAAAATAAGAGAGGAATGTTGAATTGGTGTTTGTTGTAATATTCGACTATATCAATTTGAATAACGTTCAGCCACGACTATAAATATGGCACTCCAAA